GAGGGAGGGAGGGGGAGAGAGGGAGGGAGAGAGGGAGAGAGAGAGAGGGAGAGAGAGAAAGACGGGATGTTTTGGTGGCAAGCAGCGCTCTTGGGGTAATTTGATTACCCTCGACGACGCGACGCGGCCAAGCTTGCCGTCTTCATCACTCGTGGCGTGGCGCCCGATGGGTTGTCTAACCCGCCGGGCAATGCCCCGGGCATTGGCAGCATTGGTAGTGTAATATTTTGATCGGAATTGCCCCAATTTTTCTAATTTATTCTTAAAATTATTGTGGAGTACCAAGAAAAGGTTTCGTGCCGCGTCCATAATGCACTCACGCTTTCTCTGGTTCAATTTTTTTCCAGGCCTCCTTTGCGTCGCGATGAGATAGGGACGTCTTTGAATATACCACCCGAATATTTGCGGTAGCTGTTAAACCTGATCGCGTTTCGTATAGTGACTAACTAGATAAAGGAGTTACTTTGCCAGCCAAAAACAACTGTCTCGTCTGGTGGCCCCGAGCGAGCAGGCAACCCACTCGCACGCAACAAAGCAGGTATCACATTCACCCACACCCGTCCCGGGAGATCGCGTGGTCAGCGAGGTGGTGAGGTCAGTGGGTCATATTATTGACTCTCGGCGCCCGTCTCGGTGCCCGTGTAGTATTCTCGCGTGCTCCCGACAGATATGACGAGTGATTTGCTCGTAGAGGAGGCAGACAAGGGCGGGCCTTTCATGCACCGCTCCGCTCCGCTTGCTCCTCTCCGCGCCGCTGGACCACAAACAGGCAGCATCCATCCACTCCACTCCTCTGGCTGCATGCGGAAGTGCCCCTGACAGCCGTGCATGGCGCGGCTCTGTACTCCGCGCGTCGAAGCGGGGCGCCTATGGTGGTGTGTGGAGGGGAAGAGGGGAGGGGGGCATCCTATGCTTAGGGGTCGTCCGGTTTTCCGCAGATTCGTTCAGCAAATTACGGGAGCTCGTCCCCTGTGAGACTCGGGGTAGGCCACCCGGCCGTACACACAAGCACTCCAGGCAAGATGCTGCCTACCTATCAGGCGCTTATGAGAGCTTACTCACAGGCTGCACTCAGGCTTAGCAATTCCGTAACAGCCAAGGACGGACGCACTTACTGGATGATCCCATAACGACCCCTCTCCTGCTCCAATGAGAAAAGAAAAAGCTCTGTGTGGCACGGACATCAAACTAGATTTTAATGGGTGGAATTTATTTTAAGTTGTCAGCATCAGATTAGTTCAGGATAGCTGGATTAGTGAGCTGCATATTGAGGCACCCGTGTGCTCGTCCGTACACATGTTATCTGTCAACTGGAGCCGACTAGTAAAGCGCCCGAGAAAATATTCAGGGTCATCGCCTGACATAATGCATGACACTTGAAATAACAATCTTCCGAAAAAACAAATTCACTCGGCCTGAAGCAGGGTCTTCTCGTTAGCTAGGTCAACTTGGTCTAGTGTTTCCAATCGGGCGCACTAGCGCTAGCGCCTCGCCCTGAATGGGGAATCATCATCGTCTGTCTCCCTTACTCTTAACCGACGCAGATGAGCGTGAGAGAGACAGAAGATATGCCGGACAAAGGCTCTCGCACGCTCTTCCCGCCCGGTTGGAGGGAGACCCTTCGGCTCCACCTGGACAACGATGAAGTAGTGGTTCGTTCGCTGCCGTTCGGTCACCGTACGGTACGCACTTATGCAAACGCGCCAGGGCGGAGCGCAGCCGATGTGTGCGCACGCAGCGCCACGGCTGGTGATAATGACGGCGGTTCTGACGCCATCATTATTCCCATTAATATCATTACGTGGAGCAGTGTACCCCCGTAGCGCTTAATTGACGGAGTGGAAGGACTTCCTCGGGCGGCGATGAGACAGACGACGTCGTCGTCGGGGTCCCCGAGGATCCCTTCCCTGCGCCCATCCATCCGGCCATCCGGTGCGACCCTCCTGCCCCCCCCCC